GAAGATTCCCTAGTCTTGCAACTGAGAATTGAACAGGGTTAAAACATTGTTGCAGGAGAACGACTCGAAAACTATTTCAAACACGCTATATTTCCTCCAGCAATTTTCAGTAAAGAGGATATATTCCTTTAACACTAAACGTACCAAAACTCACGATCGGTTATGAAATAAATAAAGATCCTTTTACAAAAATAGCGTAGCTAATTGTCAACTTAATACAGGCAATTTTAAGAAAAGAAATTATACATTTTCATCTTTTTTTTTTTAAATACGAACGAAAAACGTGGCAATGAGCGCAGAATTTGAAATCGAATTTTTATACCGGTTTAGTGTTAAACTCGCAACATTGTACAGAAAAACCCGTAAACAGAGATATGTAATACTATAAATATACCCGAGGCTTCGATTTTCAAAAGAAGCAGTCACTTTCGTCTGAATGAACGAGCGACGCGAGTGACAATAGCCACGCGAATCACGTACCATGCCCTCGTCTATCGAGATGTCTTCCTCGAAGTAGCACTCGTCAGGCTCATCCGGTGTCAGAGCGGTAGGTGTTTCCGGTGACTCCTCCTTAATGTCCTGCCTCCTCATCCAGTCCATCCTCGAGCCTTCTTCGTGCCTTTGGCGACCGAACAGGTTGATGGCTTCCTCTGCCGATGATGTTGTCCCTTCCTCGTTCCCAACGCGAGATCACATTTCTCGAATTCGATCGTACGCGGAGAACACAGCACGCGAGAATCAACGACGACGACGACGACCGCTTTTCTTTATCGTTTATCAAGAACCACGCTCCGATTACGCGACAGCCTCTCCGCTAGCGGCTGCCGCTGACATTTGCCAAATGTCAAAGTCTTTTCGACTCGACTGTGTGTGTTCCAACGTATCCGTGGCGCTACCAACCCAAGCGGCTCTGTCCCGTTGATCCGATATATCGATCCGATATATCGTCCTGCTCACACGTGCACCAATCGCGCGAGTGTATATATATATATGTGTGTGTGTGTGTGTGTG